GTAGGCTCCTGCTTGGAAACCTCGATACTGCCGTTGTTTGAACGATATATTAATGATGGATAATTGTTAGCAGTGGAATCCAGGACGCACGTTTTGTCCAGTTTGAGACCGATCATTTTGGTAGACTCAACGATGGGAAAATACAAGCAACAACATTAGAACTATACCTGTCATACAAGAAGGGACTATCATGACACAACGGTCTAGTGGATAAATCACTAGCATTTGAAGAGATTGGTCCCAATTTCGAGATCTAATTAAAACAACATGAGTCACTGGTAGGTAGGTACAACCAGCTGATAAAACGTGGATAAAACGTGCGCCCTAGGTTCCACTTCTAAGCATCAAGCACACAATAGCCTAATCACACATTAATGTGTGCATGCAGTGGATGTAAATGCGAAGAAATGAAATTAGTAAGTAGATGTATTTAAGAAAGTCATCAGAGAAATGAATATATTACAGCATGAAGAAAACAACTTCAAACCACCCATAGTGTGAAAAAGGTTTACTTTGAGAATTGCTTTAAAATCCTATAGAATGAGAACACAATTTTATGTAAACTTTTCTGAAAAACCTAATTTTTTTTGAACTGTGCAATGTATTTGCGTTACACAATTCAAACAATCCTATCATACAAGTACATGTCAAAAGTTGTAGAAAGATGAGGGTTGAGAAAGTGGTAAGAGATCACTTAGTTTGATTGAATTAAGGGTTAAACAAAAATGAAAACCAATGGAGTGACAATAATTATGCATCGAGCTTGGTTTCAGAGTTGAATGCTCTACGGGAAATAACCCTTTGTAAGCCCTTCTAATGTCAGTGCTAAGGAATTATTATGCAGCTAGAGTTCGAGTAACATTATTCTTATTTGTTCCTTCGGTTCTTAGTGGAACATACAGATTCAGTTGCACGTCACCATTTCACTCTACTCTCTACAGTCTTTTCAACCTAAATCCACAACTACTCACTACCTTTCATTTCTTCATCACACAATCTCCTCCATGTCAACCTCATCTCACACACCCAAATCGTCATTTCACATACGGGTTCCACTCGACGACCTGACCTGACCTGACCACAACTGGGGTTTCATATCCCTAAATGGTCCTCTCATTCAATGTTCAATTCAATCCATCTCCACTCCCTTCCACTCCATATTTGTTGGGTGATAGCTTCTTGCCTCGTTGGTTGGCTGGTTGTTAGCCAGAGTGAGTTCCTTGTTGCTCATTCTTTCTGATCATCTGATGTCATCTTGATTATCTAGTGAGCATAGGTGACAGCTGTTGATGATGTATGTCTGTAGTTTGTTGGAAATGCTTTTCGTAACGCCTCAAGTCTCTCAATCATCACAAACAAGCACTGACTTGACATTGGCGTTGAAAATCCAGATCTTGTTCATGCTCTATACTGATTGTAGTAGATCTCCAAACTGATTACCTCAGATTGATTGAGGTCTGTCTTGCTGCCTTTCCGATCCTGCCTAGCTTTGATGTCTTCATCTGTGCCTGTGCCACCTGTAGTTGAAACGATGCCTAGGTAGGTGAACAAGACAAATTCCTTTAGAGTTCGAGTAATAGAAACTACCAAGCCTGTATACTTCTCCAAACTGTTTCAGTATGTGAATGATAATGTCAAGTACCACCGCATCTGACATTTCAAATGTCATTATGGTGACACATACATAGAGAGGACTCTGTAACGAAGTTCGATGTATTGTTATTTCATTCCATTGATTTTCATTGTTGTTTGAACTTTAATTTAGCCCCTAATTGACCTTTTCCATATTCTCACCCTTTTTGTCTTTATAAATTTTCATGTAAACACCTATAACAATTACATGTTTGATAAGCTTGCTTGAAATTTATTGCGCAAATACATTACATGGTTTATACATATTTCGTCTTCTTATTATTTTGCTGAAGTTCATAAATGTAACTAATTGTTTCAAAAAAGCTAAGCATTTTCGCTTGGTGATATTCTAAGGATTGTTGTTGGATTAATTAAATGAATGCTTTTTTCAGTGTGTCTTGTGCAAACTTTGACTCACCAGTACTGATTCAACTTATAAAGTAAGTGGTCAACTTATCCAACCACTTGACTCCTTATTGTAAGACAAGGTACCATTAAAATCAGTCCTTGAACATAGGTTTGCATTTAGGTATTCAGGAATGCATCCGAAACATTTTCAAATAGCCACTTAAGGGGTCCAGAAGACTCTCCTTTTTTTTTGCTTTTTCACTGAACAAGTATATATCTTTTGCGTACTGTAGGTTCACCAAGAAGTTTCTTGAGACAAAGTAATACAGTAAGACGGTATAAAAAGATCTGTATAAATACACCTATAACAAATACTGAAGTTAGTGCTGATGATATCATCTAAAAAGACAATGAAAGCTCCATGATTACACAACCCAGCTCAGAGAACACAAATATTCTTCACTATCTCAAAAAAATTTATAAATGAAGAGAGCAAATATCTTTGGTGGCCACTACCACGCCTACAAAAATCACTTGGTGTCCCAGTATAGGCTGTAACATATCCTCAGGTGTCCGAATCCAGAAGAAGAGGTTACAGGTTTCTGACCACAGCTACCTTCTTAGTATTGTTCACCTAAGGTGTGATCCCGGACTGCTCGATATCGAGGTTAGGCAAAAGTTACTGGATGAGACAGGCAAATAGGTCTATAAGGTTGTGAAGGTAAAGCAGTTGAGGTGGCTTGAGCATACCAGAGCCAATGCCCACCTTGACGTGTAGTGTTAGGAGAAGCTGGATTAAGTTAGAAGGAGGCTCAGAGCGACAAGATCAAGGCGTATCAACTGTCCATGAGGCTTCTGATTGTTGGTATGAGTCGTATGAGGGTGTGCAGATTACTTGTTTAGGGTTCCCCAATATTTGGTAAATATCTGGCCTGGTTTGTGGTTCCAGAGCTTCATTTAGGTGTCTAATGACTACAGATGCTTGGATCTTAGACACTATATTCATAAGAATCATTTTTCTGTGGTTGCGACCAAAATATCCTTTTTTAAATGAAGTGATTGATGTCGGTCAGACAGATGTACATCCGGTTGCTATATACTAGCTAACACTCCAGTAGACCCAACCAATATTCTTCGATCATAGTATCTTTTGTGTAAGCCAACTTGGCTGTACTGTCCTTCCTCTTTTTATGTTATTTAAAGTCTTCTTAACTACCGTAAGTATTGGAAGACCCGTCTTAGTTTTCTCTTCAGGATCTAATAGATAGTGGGTAACTGAAGGCTAGTTGGAGGTCAGTCGAACTGTTACTGGAGTTGCTTCTCCCACTGTTCCCTTCTTCAATCATGCCAGTGAAACACAAACACTTCCTTCTCCGTTTTAGTTTCACTAACCATTGATCTTTTTCCACCATTTTCCTTGATTCGACGAAATAACTGTTTACTGTAATCTGTGATCACTTCCTTTTTTATATCTTTAGCCTTTGCTATCTACCGGTGTCTATGGTTATACACCGTTTGTGACTCTACATTCGGTTTGCTACCACTCCTCATCGATTTCTGCTGGGCTAGGTTCATTAATTCAGAAGAAGCTGCTGGGAAGAAAATTTAGTGTCAGTTATATTATTAAAGTTCCAAAATGATCCCTGATCAAAAAGGATGTGTTAATGGGATATTTTTCTAAAAACGCATTGATTACATTGACACCAGTTAGGTATGCAGGACAAATACGAAAAAAAATCTATAGCACAAATAGTCAAAAACCTTGGCCCATAAGTTTACTTCCATGTTTCGTCATTCCAGATGGTCAGCCTTTACTTTTTAATATATGTTCTATATTTAGCTAGCTGTAAAATGGATGTATAACCTCGCCTAATTTACTAATTCACTAGTTTACTAGCCGGTACTAAGTTCGGATAAAGAGGGAAGGTTGACCGTGGGGCTAGCGAACCTACCCTAAAAAATCAACCCGATCGTTAAAAAAACTTCAAAGCACAAAGAAAATATAAAACATAAAGTTATCCTTCGCTGGAATCCGGGAGACGAGATGGCGTCAGTTAGTGAAAGCCTTCGGGAAGCCAATTAGGTGATGTATCTTCTCTTGGTGAAAACAAAAATAGGCATATGGATACGGGACATTCACACAATGTTTGAAGCTAGTAGATTTACTGCATTCAGCACGAAGAACAAGATTCGCCAATGTCAAGTCAGTGGTTCCTTATGCTTCAGAGACTCGGTACGTTATGAAAAGCACTTTCAACATAAACAGCTGCCACCTATGCTCACTCAATACTGAAGATGACATCAGATGACCGGAACGAAAAAGCAACAAGGAACTCACTCTGGCTAACAACCAGCCAACCAACGAGGCAAGAAGCTATCACCCAACAAATATGGAGTGGAAGGGAGTGGAGATGGATTGAATTGAACATTGAATGAGAGGACCATTTAGGGATATGAAACCCCAGTTGTGGTCAGGTCAGGTCAGGTCGTCGAGTGGAACCCGTATGTGAAATGACGATTTGGGTGTGTGAGATGAGGTTGACATGGAGGAGATTGTGTGATGAAGAAATGAAAGGTAGTGAGTAGTTGTGGATTTAGGTTGAAAAGACTGTAGAGAGTAGAGTGAAATGGTGACGTGCAACTGAATCTGTATGTTCCACTAGGAACCCATGGGACAAATTTTAAAAAGATGAGATTTCAGTCTAGTTGGAAGGCAATAAGAACAAAGTATTCTATCAATAACCAACCTTATACATAGAATTCCATGAGGTCTGTAGTGTTATCCACCTAACTTCTATTCTTATTTTTTTCCAAAGGTTTTTTTTAGTATATGGAACTGCATATTCACGAGTGATGTTTTCCCTAGAATTCTATGCAAGCGATAAACAGTTTTCTCAACTTCTGAAATCTGTAGTCATATTAATGATGATAGTCGATGTTAACATATTATGTTAACACATAAATACTCCAACAATGAAGAGATAAATTTTATATTAGAAGTTGTAATTCATCTTAATAGGCAACAATTGAAAAGGTAATGTATGATTATATATATATATATATATATATATATATATATATATATATATATATATATATATAATTACTCTGTAGTTTTATATGCATATATAAAAACCAAAAGGGAAATCAAGGGGAAAATCAGATCTGATTGAAATTTCTCAAGTTCATCATCATCATTCTCATATTATAAAACATGAAAGTGACATAATTCTTAGTAAAATAATTTATCAATGATTTTGAAAAATTTAATTCAAAATAATAAAAGTTTATCTTTTTTTTGTTTTCAGCAACAGATTTTAAAGAATTATGTTTATTTATTCAAATCATCTTCCTAAAAGAGAAAAAAACATAATTCATCTCTTTACATTAATATGTATTCATTGGATTAATGATATTGTACATAAATCTTTGCTGAATTATAACATCTTCAAGTATATTGAAACCATTGAATCAGTTATATTATGACTTTGACTTTTTATAGTGAATTACTGCATCTGCTACATTTAAACCTAATTCTACTATTTCAACAATACATACAAATGTTAATCCAATCCATATACTTAATAGACCACCAATTTGACTAAATAAAGATGTTAATGAGACAACTGCTTTTTCTTCAACACGTTCTAAATCAAAATTTGGTCGTGATATTATAATAGAAAGAAAATTTTGTTCAAATATTTGTGTTTGCATAAGCATTTTTATAGCCTCTTGTAAATCACCTTCTTTAGTTAAATTAGCTATTTTCTCATATGGTTGTAAAGGTTTACGTAATTCTTCCATACGTTCATTGAAAACTTTTAAGCTTTCATTGTTTGTTGAATTTAAATGTGAACGTCCATATGATTCCATTTCTTTAATAAACTTTAGAAAGTAACAAAAATACAGAAAAAAAAGATATAGTATATATGCATTTTCTAGATAAATGGGGATTTTTAATTTAGAAGTAGTATTCATCATGGACTGACATCACTCGGGGAACCATTGAAAATCTGGGAGCACTCAACAGCTGATTCCTCCAACTAGTATGGGACTACTCAGCAGTACACACCCACAACCCGGCCACCGATCGAACTCGGCACCTTCAGGTTTCACGGCGAATGCCTTAACCATTTAGCTACTGGGTCGATTTCCAGTGGTTCACAGTTTCCAACTTCTGTCAATTCACAACATAGCGTGACTGTCATCCAAGATCTTCAGTTAGCATCCACTTCACTTCCGACTGGTTCCCCAACTGATGTCAGTCTATGATGAATGCTACTTCTATATAGTACATATCTTTAGTTGAACAATAACAAAATTAAGCAAAATTTTATGGAAAGTTAGAGCTTCAAAGTTCAATAAGTTATACATTAGTGTAGCCTTGTCTTTCAAATCTGACTTCTACAACCTTTTAGCCAAGGCTTTAAGTGACATCAATAAATGGAACGTTCAAAAAATACCTTTAAGAGTTGTGACTAACTTTTTGTTCATATCAGGCTAAATAGAGGTTGTTATTTTTATTCTATGGAAGTCATTTCCAAAGTATACTCATATCGTAAAAATAATATGCACAATATCAACTTATGGTATACTTACTTAATTCTAATTCACTTCTAATCTTCATTGTATTGTGTTCGCTGAGCTAAATTGTCTAGTCGTGGAGCATTCATCGTTTTTCTACACGACATCATCAGCACTAACTTCAGTATGAAGTGAGCTGTCAGTATCTCTCCGTGAGTGATTTAGTAGTTTGTCTTGATGAAGTGATATCTGACTGGTTGTTAGCTTTGATGTTTTTGCCATTGTACATAGAGAATATATCAGAAATCATGACAAGATTACTGAGACCACTTGAAGTTCGTGTGGCTCATGAGACAACTAATTCCCTCCAAACACTATTATGTAGACTAAAGGATGCAACAACCAAACAAGACAAACGGAATATCACTTACAAAATCAACGGAGATAATTGTGATCAACACTACATTGGACAAAGTTGTCGCCCTCTTCGCCTTCGTCATTTACATGAACACCGATTGGCTATTAAACGTCACACACGACATCTCATCACTCATTTCGATGCACGTGAATAACAACCATGGACATGAATTCAATCTTGACAATGTAGATATCTTGGACGGAGAGAGGAAACATAAGGAATATCAGAGAATTCCCAGAAGCAGGACATTCAAGTCAGTCTGTTAGCAATCAACAGATGTATTGACATAGACCCAACCTATCAACTAATGAGAAAAATCATAAACGACAGAAAGGTGAGAGGTCAAGTAGAGGAACAGCCAATAGGAAAGTCTATACAATCAATGACACAACAATCAAAGGAAACAACCGGTCACAAATCACTTCATTAAGGCAAACTGCTAAATCACTCACGGAGAGATACTGACAGTTCACTTCATACTGAAGTTAGTGCTGATGATGTCGTGTAGAAAAACGATGTAAGCTTCACGACTAGACAATTTAGCTCAGAGAACAAACACAATACGACCAAGACCAGACACCTGAGTTACAAATATTCTCCATGATTTGTAATCTTCACTGTAAAATGAACCCAATAAATATGCAGAAGAAAGTGGAAGTGGATTGAGCATACACTGAGAAAGCCATTCCCAGACATCACGTGCCAGGCCCTCGAGTGGAACCCGTATGGGAAATGACGATTTGGGTGTGTGAGGTGAGGTTGACATGGAGGAGATTGTGTGATGAAGAAATGAAAGGTAGTGGGTAGTTGTGGATTTAGGTTGAAAAGACTGTAGAGAGTAGAGTGAGATGGAGGCGTCCTACTGAAGCTGTATGTTCCACTAGGAACCCAAGGGAAAAATAATCATAATAATAAGATGAGACTTATAAGATGAGGAAAATAAACACAAATGTAACGTGAATACAGAAAGAAAAAAATTATTTTAATGCTTGGACACTGACATTGTACTTATTTAACCATTTAATTTCCTATGAGATGTTTTGTTTAAAACCTGTTTACTATTTCTTTTAGAAATCTTTCTTCAAGAATAAACTGTCAAAATGTTTTCGGCAGTTATTATTACAGCCCATAAATACTAGTGAACAATTTAGATTACAAGAGAATTTTGTTACATTTACTTATAACACATATGCTTAAGTGTGAATAAAAAGTAACTTTTGGTTTTCGTCTAGCTAGAGCAAATAATAAATGAGCAATAATAATCCGATTAAGAATATAGTTCAATAGTTTCAATATTCAAGGCAAGAAAAAGCTGTGAAATAAAATTTCTTATAATTTATAAGATTCATGAATATTTCTGTCTACTTTATAGGTTAAGGATTTTAATTTATGAATAAATATTCGTTCTTGTAAAGCAAGTATTCGCTATACTTGTTAAATGTTGAAGTAGCGTTTCTTATTCGAGGTACTGCGTTACTGAAGAAGTCTACCTCACTTTTTAGTTAATATAAAGAAATTGGTCTATACTGTGAGTTAAACTGTAGTTGGAAAATTCAGCTTAATCAAACAGCACCATAAAAGAATAAATTTAAGTAAATATTAAGAACTAACCTATGAAAACTATCCGGGAAGAGATCAACTCAGACGAAACCAATGAAAGATAGTGAATGAAACCTAGTCACTAAAGAGAAGAAACAAAGGAAACGATAGGCTGACCACTTCAAAAAACTCTTGAATCTACCAGCACCTGCAACTCGTCCGGAAATATCACCAGCAACCCAGCCACAGAACTACCAATGAACACAGGCCCTCAGACAAAAGCAAAAGTCCTGAATGCCATAAAATTACTGAAATCCGGCAAAGCAGCAAGACCAGATGAAATTCCCCCAGAAGCACTGAAAACATAGGCAGAGACAACAGCGGACATGCTCACACCAAGACTGGAGAAGGTTTGGAAGGAAGGGTGGGAAGGTACCTGCAGACTGAAAGGAGGGCTACCTTATCAAACTCCCAAAGCAGGGAGACCTAACCCTTTGCTAGAACTGGTAAAGAATCATGCTCCACCAGTGTCCACCCCGAGCAAAATATTAGACTGTTTCATACTAGAGAGACTAAAAACTGCTCTGGATTCAAAATTACGACCGGAACAGGTAGGCTTCAAGAATAACAAATCATGTGCGGATAAAATTCCACCGCTACGCATCATCATTGAACAGAGTATAGGATGGCAGTCAACTCTCCACCTCAACTTTATCGACTTTGAAAAGGCCTTCAACAGCGTCGACTGGGAGGTAATTTGGCAGGCAGCCGCTTCAACACTATGGAATGCCACAAACCTTTATCAACCTTTTTCAACAGCTATATGAAGACGTCACGTGCCAAGTGATCCACAGTGGGAAGCACAGTGACGCCTTTGAAGTGAAGACAGAAAGGAGTAAGACATGGCTGCCACCTACTATCATCAGTGATCTTCCTGATTGTGATTGACTGGACTGAACTGGATCATGCAAGAAACTGTGAGGAGCGAGAAGAGGGGCATAGGCTGTTTGACTGATGGAAAGATCCTAGAAGATTTGCATTTCGCCAAGGATGATGATTTATGTCTAGTGTCATGTCGCACAAACTTGAAGATCTACAGGCGAAAACCCACAAGTTGACAGAAGAGTCAGCGCAGCGAAGACGTGGCTGACTTCAGGCGAACGTAGAGAAAACACAGGCGATGAAGATACCCAACCAACAACAGCATCAACAACAAGCACCAATCACTATGATCAGGAGAAACCTAAAGGAAGTTGTCTCTTCCACCTACCCACCTGCCTAGGCAGGCAGCACAGATGAGGATGTAAAGAACAGGATCAGAAAGACAGCAAGACAGGGTTTCATTAATCTGAAATCAGTGTAGAGTTCTATTGGACTCGGCAAAAAGGAAAATATCCCGATTTTCAACACCAATGTCAAGTCAGTACTTCTACACGGTTCTGAAACTTGGCGCGCTACGAAAAGCATTTTCAACATCAAAAGCTGCCACCTATGCTCACTAGATAATCAAGATGAAATTAGATGACCGGAAAGAAAAAGCAACAAGGAACTCACTCTGGCTAACAACCAGCCAACCAACGAGGCAAGAAGCTATCACCCAACAAATATGGAGTGGAAGGAAGTGGAGATGGATTGAATTGAACATTGAATGAGAGGACCATTTAGGGATATGACACCACAGTTGTGGCCTGGTCAGGTTGTCGAGTGGAACCCGTATGGGAAATGATGATTTGGGTATGTGAGGTGAGGTTGATATGGAGGAGATTGTGTGAGTAAGAAATGAAAGGTAGTGGGTAGTTGTGGATTTAGGTTGAAAAGACTGTAGAGAGTAGAGTGAAATGGTGACGTGCAACTGAATCTGTATGTTCCACTAAGAACCCATGGGACCAATAATAATAATAACAATAATTTGAGTTTTATATGAATTCAATATAAAGTTACTTACTTTTGTAACAAACCATGTCAAAAATGTTTTTGTCGGCCATTGAGCAGCTGTTATACTTGGTTTATATGTGTATCTAACACACGCTGGTCTACAACCAACTTGATAACTATCCATAGCTGTACCAGTTTTTTCTGCACATTCCGCAAAATGTGCAAAATGTGCTACTACTTCCTGATTAAAGTATAACTGTTTAGATTTGGTGAAATTATCTAACATTTGATAAGTTGCAGGCAGTTTAAATGCTTGACACTTTCTTAAATCTTTTCCAAGAAGATGTGTTGGTATCGGTAAGTGTTGTGTTAAACATTGACAGTTTGAGGCGACTTTCTCTTGTACCATATATGCATGACATGCTTCTTCACTGAATGTATAACTAACATTATTGAATGATATAAATTTTGGTGTATTTTTACTGCATCTACCATGAGGTGGTTCCATCATTGACCATTCATATACTGTAAAACGAATGTCAGTCATTGTTCCAGGCATTAAATTTACTCCTTCTTCAGCAACACGTGGATAAGATGCACCTGGATGTAGTAACAATCTTGCTCCAGTTAATTGACTAGCCATAACCCTTTCCTAGCACACAGGAAATAAAATAGGATATAATAAAACTTTTTACTGTATAAAAAAAGAGTTCAAAGAAAAAATATTCACCAATGACTGATAATGTTATTAAAGAGCATTAAACATTTGTCACAATCCAATTTCGGTCTGTTGGTTAGTACCTATCCATCAATTCATATTGTACTGTATTATAAGCCTCCACATTTTGGTGAATAGGTTACTACTAAACTAGTGGTCAAATATTTGTTGACTAACATTTATTATTGTTGTAACCCGTATTACAGGTGCATTACTTGTCATTTATGTTAAATCACTAAACGTTGTTATTTGTAAGTAGTATTGATCATGGACTGACATCAGTTGGGGAACCACTGAAAATCTGGAAGCATTGGACAGCTGTTTCGTCCTAGTGTGGAACTCCTCAGCAGTATGCATACTAGGACAAAAAAGCTGTCCAGTGCTCCCAGACTTTAAATGGTTCCCCGAGTGATGTCAGTTCATGATGAATACTACTTCTAAATTAAAAATCCCCGTTCATCTCAAAAGTACCTCGTTATTTGCATCGTCTCATCGCTTATTGGACGAAGTTAATCGGTCACTATTGTGACGTGGGCTCCCGCAAGGAGGTCTTAATTTTGCCTATGTTTAAGTTATATATCACTGATAAATAGTTGCTGGCAACAGAATGTAGAACGCACATTTCGCCTCATTTGGGACTCGTCAGCTGCATGAACCTCCTTCCCTGTAAGCCATATCGATCCCACTAGGACATTAAAATTATACCCACTCGTATAAGAAGTGATTATCATGACTTGGTGGTTTAGAGGATAACGCTATGAAATTTCAAGTGATCAGTCTCAAATTCTAGCCCTAATGGAAACAACATGGCTCACTGGGAGGCAGATGAATTAAGCTGATAAGTCTTAAATGTAAATAAAACACGTGTCATGAGTTCCACTACTAGTCACTATCCATCATTAATATATAACCCGTTACATGCCTCATAATAAATGAATAAGGAACTTTGTAAAAGTCAGTCATTGATAATGAAACTATTTTTTTTACTTTCGAAACTATAGTAAAGACATGTAAAATAACTATTAATTATATTGAATTTTGAGGGAGTTGTGGAGATTTGGAAATATTTCAAGCTGTTATTCATTGTAGACTGACATAAGTTGGAGGATTAAAGGAAACCTGGGAGCACTGGACAGTTGTTTCGTCCAACTAGTACGAGACTCTTTAGCAGTGCGCACCCACGACCCCGCACCACCAGGGATCGAACCTGTTACCTTCAGGTTCCGTGGTCAGCACGTTACCATTGATCGACTGGATCAGGATCCAATCGTCCATATTTCCAACTTCTGTTAGCTAACGATATATAGCGCAGCCACCACCCAATGTCATCGTTTAGTAACTGTCCTCAAGACCATCAGGCTTTGGAATACAAGGTTACTTACATAAATACAAACCTATAGTGGAGAAGAAATCTGTGCAGTGTAAAATAGTGACAGAATAAGATTACTGAATATAAAATATTCGAAAATATTAATAAAATTATGCAAATTATTATTATCTGTTAGTTGGTTAATGTGTAAACAGTCATGGTTGAGCATATGGGTTGTTTAAAGTGTCAGGTGCTTGTTTTACTGACTGAATTGACGATCTTTTCAAATTTATCGTCTTCGATTGCATCCATACCTATGGGTATTGCTAAAACAATGCGTAATACATGCTCATTTCCTAACAATTCAAGAAATATGATAATGTATATATTGTAATCACACTAAATACCAAAGAGATATAGTTTTTTGCCCGATACTCAGTCAAAACATTGTTGTTTTTATGTAAAATTACTTTTGACATTGAATTTATTGCCCATCGGTTAGTCATACTGTTGCACTATATTTCTGTTACGGCTTCTAGACTTTAAACCTACAATTCTTGCAGTCTTGGGTATGATACTTTATATATATTTTACTGGTTCCTCCTAGGAAGTTTATATATATAAGGTCAAGTATTGTCAGGAAGCTGTAATACTTTAGGTGTGGTCGGTGTTTTCAGTTTACACGGTTAGGTTTGGAACTTTGGTAGATATCAAAAGGATTTCTACCTCTATATTCTTAATTAGTGGTAGATCACAGACCGAAAATATTTAAAGCAGATAATGAAATTACTTAGTAATGTATTTTCGAGATGAATGGGGATTTTTAATTTAGAGGTGGTATTCATCACGGACTGATATCAAGCTCTAATGAGAAGCCGTGGTCTGTGGGTTCAGACAGTCGGAATGGAAGCGGATCCCAGCTGAAAACGTTGGGTGACAGTAGCGCTATATCGTGAATTGACAGAAGTTGGAAATTGTGAACCATTGAAAACTGACCTAGTGGCTGTATGGTAAACGCGTTCATCGTGAAAACTGAAGGTCTTGAGTTCGATCCGTAACCGGGTAGTGGGTGAGTACTGCCAAGAATTCTCATACTAGGACGAAACAGCTGTCCAATGCTTCCAGATTTTCAATGGTTCCCTAACTCATGTCAGTCCGTGATGGATACTATCTCTAAAACTACTTAGTATTTACTGATGTTTAGTTATAATTTGTAAAGAATGATGAAATTGATACACTTTTCACGTAGGATGTTGAACTTGCTAAAGGATGATACTAATATCTGAATAGGCAAATGGTCAGTTTATAGTACATAGTTATGAAAATTCATCATAAAATTATCTTGATATGCAGCACTAGTTTGAACTGATCTGTTTTTGACAGTATCTTTAAAGATATGTAGCGCAAATATCTTTTAAAAAGGCTACAGGAAACTAACACGTATAAACCACTATCATGTTCTAATCATAAACTTTGACGTAAGTGATAATGAACTTTCAAGCTTCCAAGTTTCTGCTTTTATTTTTACAATGTGAATAAGAGATATTTTTACTCCCCAAAAAACGGAAAAGAAAACCTACCTATTTTTTCAGTACGAGTCTTGAGCAGTTTTAGTTTTGTACGGTAATAGTTAACGATGGCTCAAAGTATTGAAACTTGTACAACATAACTCAATGAAAGTTCTGCTGATCTTAGTGATTAGCAGAGAAACCAGGATGGATGTTTCGTCCTATCTGGTATTCATCAGACAGATGGACCTGATCCCCAATGCGGAGTGTTGTTCCCATTGGAACTCGAATCAAGTACCCATCGCTTCAAACGCCAAAGCGTCATCCACTAAGCCACTGAGACACAACAGCCACCTATTGTGTAATAAGTATCAGTTTTTGTTACGATACTTGTAAGTTCGCTTTACAGTATCGAGGCTTCCGCGTAGGAGCTCATATGCAAAGATAGGTCTAACGATTCGGCCCTGTATAGCGACAGGAAATTACAAATATTATTACAACAGTGAAATTTGATATGTGTGGATAAGTCCGTTTAGTGAAGTAATCGAATAAAAGGAAAAAAGTATGTAGTATGTTTTAGTGGTGATAATGTTATCAGTGACGATTTTGAGTGATTCGTATGCCACTTATTTATCATGTCTATTTATGAGAATGATCGGAAGGCGAACATAAGTTTGTATTATCTTGTTGTTCTGTGATCTTTTCCTTTCTAGTTGTAAGACATTCCTTAAAAGTTTAGAAACCTTCTTGAAGTATTCATAGACACCAACTTTGTGACGTGATATTTACAATATGTATAACTATCCTTTATATATTTAAACTTTTTCACATTTACTGGGATTTTTGATTAACTGGGAGCACAAATCTTCGTCAGTGGCGATCGAGAAGTAATTTGGCAGTTGCTTCAACAATACGGAGTGCCACAAATCTTTATCATCCTCATTTAACAACTAGATGAAAAGGCCACATGCAAAGTGATTGACAATGGGAAGCATAGTGACTCTTTTGAAGTGAAAACAGGAGTAAGACAAGGCTGCCTACCATCACCCATGATCTTCCTGATTTTGGTCGACTGGATCATGCAGAAAACTGTGAGGAGTGAGAAGGTGGGCATACACTGGCTGGACCGATGAAGAGACCCTAGAAGATTTGAATTTCGCCGGTGATTTATGACTAATATCATACAAACTCGAAGATCTACAGGCAAAATCCAACAAGTTGACAGAAGAGACAGCCAAGGAAGACAAGACTTGCTTCAGGTGAACGTAAAGAAGGCAGAGGTGATAAAGATACCCAGCCAACGCCACCACCACCAACAAGCTCTAATCACCATGATCAGGAGAAACCTGAATAAGTTGTCTCTTTCACCAACCTGTCTACACGCGGCACAGGCACGGATGACGATGTCAAAGCCAGACTCGGAAAAGCAAGACAGGCGTTCTTTAACCGGAAACCAGTGTGGAGATCTTCTGCACTCAGCATACAGCGTGAACAAGATCCGGATTTTCAACACCAATGTCAAGTCAGTGCTCATGTATGGTTCAGAGACTTGGTGCGTTACGAAAAGCATTTCCAAAAACCACAGACATTCATCAACAGCTGCGTACGTTGGCTCGCCACTGAAGATCAGATGGCCAGAAAAAATAAGCGACAAGGAATTTTGGGAACGAACCAATAAAGAACTAGTAGCCCAACAGATATGGAGTGGAAGAAAGTGAAGATGGATTGGATTGGGCACACACTGAAGAGACTGATTGGGGACATCACGCCTCAGGCCAGGTTAGGTCGTCGAGTGGAATGCAAAGGGGAAACGACAAGTTGGGTGTCCTAGGTGAGGGTGAGATGGAGGAGATTGTACGAGGAAGAAGTGAAAGGTTATGCGCATTGGTAGAGCCAAGTTGAAAAGACTGCAGAGAACAGAGTGCAATGGAGGCTTACTACTGAAGTCTTACGTTTCACTAGGAACCCAAGGGAATAATAATAATAATGGGAGCGTAAAAATTGGAACAGATTGTTTTTACATTCTTAACAGAATATGATTTAGTCAGATAAACAGTATCATGATATTTAAAATAATTCTTAAAGGATTTCCTAGTGTTAACAGTATTCATAGTTTA